GCAATTCGTGAATCTGATTGGTACATGCTGTTAGATCTAGCCAAGATTAAGATCATACACCGACCAGATTCACGGATTTTGTGGATAGTTACAAAGGAACTTTCTCTGCTGAACGTAGTTATTAGAAAGAAAATGTGTTGAAATTTTTATGTTGCCGACTATATGGAATATTGTAATACTCAAGATCAGAATATTATACGAATGCACGCGTATTAAGTGCAATGTAAGGAAGACGATCGGGAGGACAAAATTGACGTTTTAAATGATTTGTATCGTAATCGGCGGTTGTGGATCTTCAAGATGCACCAATTTTAGTCGCTGAAGAGCAATTAGGGGGACTAGACAGGTCCGTTTCGAGCGAGAAGAGATAAGGATCTCGAAGGACCAATTCCGCCAAAGTCGCGCGCGTTGTAATTAAAATCCGAATAGTCGTAACGAAGGATTCGGATAAATAATAGCGAGTGCGTGTCTCGCGAAATGGAAGTAAATCATCCCCCGCCGCCGGTGGAGCCTGGTCACAGGCCGACGTGAAACAAAGACGACGGGGGGCGAGCGCAACCCCCGCTCATTCGGTTGGCCGGTCGGTCGGTCGGTCGGTCGCCGTAATTCACAGTTTGGTGGCGCGTTTATTAACGGCGGCGCGCGTCACTCCGGGCTACGCCTTTTTAATGATTTATCGTGCACGCGCCGAGACGTATCCCTTTTGCTCGGGCCAAAGTTCGACGTCTTCCTCGCGGGGCCCCGCGGGGCCCTTTTGCCTTCACCTTCCGCCAGCTGCCGATCGTGAGAGGTGCAGATGGAGGCGCAGATGTTGCGTTTCAACCCTGTCACCGTTCGTAACTGCATAGTTCCTCTTCTGCTCGACTCTCTCTCACTCTTTCTTTCTCTCTCGTCAGCAGAGAGCCCGGACCGACCGTCGTCTTCTGGCTCCTTTTTTCGCATTAGGCGAAACGTGAAATGGGGATATCCTTGGTTGTTCTGTTGACTCTCGGGATAGAATCTAACTAAACATAGTTTCGTAGACGGGAAGGAGGAGATATCTTGGGAACAACAGCGACCCTCTCCCTTGTTCACGGGAGACTTGATAAATCGCGAGTGATCAATAATAATTGCGCGATCGAATGGCCGCGTGACCGATGATACGTAAGGCGTACGCTATGTAAGGCGGTGTATCAATTGCCCGAGATTGAGAAATCAAGGATTAATCACCGTAGACGGAAGTGCTGCTTATTTATCTGCTTTTCTTTCTCCTTTTGCTTCGGAGCGTCCATCTCGGGCGATATCGAGCGAGACGCGTTGTCCGATCGGCACGCGATACTAATCGCATCTGTCAACGCGAGTTTAGCGAGAGATCGCGATCGGCTCTTAGCGCGATCGTTGGAACGAAAGATAGAGTAAGGAGAGCGAAAGAAAAAGGGAGCCTCTCGCATGGATACGCCGGGCCAGGTAATAAAGGATACTACTCATTATCGACGGAGCGTAATCGATGGCTTTATGACTCGAGTTCCGCCGCGATATACACGCCCGGCACGCTAAAAAGACGCACGGTAAACCGAATACTGGACAGACGATCGTGCGCGCGCGGTGAAAAACGTTTAATTGGACTAGATTGTGGACGACCGACCGACCGGCGAACATCGAGATGACCGGTTCGCGCAGGCACGTAAAGTATTGAAGGCGAACTTCGGAAAACTCTCTTGCCTCTCGCGCACTCTACGGGTGTACGCTAAATTGCTCGGCCGTATATTACCAGGAAGGGCGTTGGAATTTAGAGTACGTACGCGCGTATCCTCTTATCGCCGAGGTTACGCCGCGGTGGAAAGAGAGTCCCTATATACTTCGACATCGAGGCTTTAATCGCGTAACTGTACCCCCGTGCTGCCCGTTCTAACCCTTCATTAGATGCGCATCTACTTTCCGCGATTTTTACCAAACGACGAGAGAGAGAGAGAGAAAGAGAGAGAGAGAGGGGGAAGAAGGGAATTCTATCGTGCGGACATTGTATGTACGTACATAAAACGCGGCTTAAGTTAATCCGCGTGTAATGGTCTCGCAAGGTTACTCCTCGATCGTTGCCGATGGTGATGGCGCGTGCGCTTCATTGCAACCCGGCGCCCGGAGGTGCTCCTTTTTGGATCTAATCGAAGGACGAGATTGCGTCCCGCGGTCGCGACCGTTTATGCGGATTTTCGTCGGCTAGTCGTCGATAAGCTTGAAAGAATTGGACGACTTTTCTTCTGAAACGACTCGAGAAGCAACTTTCAAGATTTTTTCGTGGACTCTTGCTCGACGTATGAGATCCTTCTCGCTGAAATTCTTGGCAAATGACTTGCATTTAAAATGAATATCTAAAACACATATTTTGTCGGAGACAAAAATCTTTATCATCGATAAAGTTAGCTTAAGGAATGAAGTTAAAACGATAGACGGTGATTAAATTATACATTAATATCCATAATTCTGGTTCTCATGGACTGACTGACCCTAAGTCGAAGTTTTAGCTTTACTTCGACCTAAACTGTCCAACATCTGTATATTCTGAAGGATTAAAGTATGTTCAATACACATAAAAACTGAAGTCCTATTTAGCGCCTCTAAATGGTAGAAAATGCATAAAATGCCACTTGTAGTTCTAAAAAATATCTCTCAGTAAAGTTAGTGGATTAAATGGAGTCAAAAGAGGTTGACTATAGGCTTTAGGGTATCAAAGTAGACGTTAAATGGAATATTGAGGTTGAAAGTAGCATCGAAGTTTCGACTCGGGACGTTTGAATACCAAAAGAGAGCCATTTATATTATGCGCTAAGAGATATCTGCCGCGCAGAACGGGCTTCGAGCGATTCGCATGCACGTGCGCACGATAACGCATCTCGCGAGTACGGGCGAGCCGGGAAGCCGTCTTGTTAAAAACTCGAGGGATTTTCGGGCGAGGAACGGGCGGAGGATCATTAGCGTCGGGCCGGATTCATCGCTCATACGCGAGTTCCCGATGAAAACTGCATGGAGAGTGGCGGCCCTCAAAAAGACAGACACGTCCCGTCGATATAAATAAAGTATCGAAGGGATGGACACACTTCGGGCTCTCGTCCGACACAACGACGAGCCAAATGAAAAATGCCGAGACGGCCGATCAATGTAAATATATTCATGACGTGGGGTGGCCGAGGCGCGGCCACAGGGATGTCGGGATACATATATACATGCGCGCGTGTGTACCGCGGGGTTTTATAGGATGGGGTTCGTCTCGATGGCACTTGGACGGCACATAATTCACTCTTTGGCAGCTCATTACAATTTAAAAAGGCCTTTGTCAGTGCACTACTCGTGATTTCGTTCACGTCGCCGCGCCGTCCGGTGGCAGCTAACAATCCTCTCTCCGCCTAGTTCCACGCTTGACACAGCAATCGAGGCACTTGACTCTACTTCTCGCCGGAATCAAGGGGAATTAAAAGGCGCAAGTTAAATACCGATGCCTGGACACTGATAACGCTGGTATCTAAGACTTGTCCAGCGGACAATCTTATCGTTTTGGTGTTTCAGTGCGAGTATTTCTTACAACTTTTAACGTATAATATATGTGTTCAATGTATGTACATGTATTTTCAATATTAAAAGCTTAAATATTCATATTTAATGACCGAAACGATAAATGTCCAGAGTTAGATGTTATTAGTGTCCAAGCATTGGTACTTTTACTCTGCGCCATTAATCGAACACGCTAGTCGAATTCGGAATTCCATTTGCGCGATATGCAAAATTCGTGAGATAAACGACGCCGAGCAATCATCAAAATGGCAATTAGCTGCTGTGTTGCAAACGCCAATTTCTCGTCGGAAACGAACGCGACTAGTCCAGGTCGCGCGCGATACGCCAACGGAATCGTTGCTTTTTTTCACTCACCCGTCGATGTTCCCATCGCCGACACCGGGCAAAGATCACGGGGCTGCTAATAACCGGCTGTTACACGCTCGTTGCGATTACGCACTCGAGGCCGCGTGCAAAACTTACGCAAAATAAGTGGCGCAGGCGCATTAGTCGGGGGAGGGTGGCGGGCGAGCTGGCGATAAATGCGTGTACGGCTGCTCGAATATCTCGTCGATTATGCACCTCGCCTTAACGCGTTACGTTAATCGCTCTAATCCGCCTTCGACGAGTAGCACACCGCCGGTGCGAGCAGGACCCAATTGCTCTCCGCGAAAATAATCACCGCGCTCGCCGCTCACGCAACGCCTTTTTGCGCAACGAAGCGCTCGCAAGCTCGAGACACCTTTTGTTCCGCGGGAACGGCGAGGAGAAGAGAAAGAATGCAAGCGCGTCCCCGCGGGACCGGGGGCGGAAGGAAGCCCGAAATTGATATGTATTCCATGCCGCGCCGCGTCCAATCTATCGCGGGTCAGGCGGGCGGAATTTTAAACGCGCGGCTTGACGCGTGTGCGTGAACGCGTGTGTACTAGCGAGGGTACGTGTGTGCACGCGTGTCGAGATAGCTCCTGACGATGTCGGGGTGGCGACCGGCTGGAGGAGATCGGCCGGCCGATCACCTTCGCACACATTCGAGAGGAACTTACGAGGGCATAAAGTATTCCCGGAGTCTCATATCGTCGGACATACGCGCGTACATCCGTGCGTGTACTGTGAGTGTGTGCGCGCGGGTTTCTACAAAGAGATGGCGCACGGCCGCGATGCCCAACGAGGGGTGGGCGGTGGTCATCGTCGGAAAATTGAATTTCGTCCCTGAGGGCCCGTCGGATGAAGTATGCTGACAGTCGGAAAATTTGCGTTTAACCGCGCGGTCACGCGACACCAGGCGCGGCCGGAATATCTCCGGGAAAATCTTCCCGCGATATCGTTTTTCCCGGTCGTTCCACGCCCCTCATTTCTGTTTTTATTTCTCGACAGAGATGTGCGCGGATGAAAAGCGCGGATTCGAAATATCGTATCGAGCGCGCGTTACACATCGGAGGTTAGATAGGTGGGTCGTATCGACAATTCGGACTTACCGTGAGGCACCCAGCCGTGGTGGCAGTTCTCGCAGTAGCGCAGGTGACGTTTCCCCGGCGTGAAGGACTCGCAGGAGCAGCCGTTCACCGTGCACCGGATCGACTGAAACCGAACACAAGCGCACTGCGATAAGCGCGAGGCTGTCAAAATCGCCGAAGTTACTCTTTAAATTTCTTGGAGTGAAATTTCACTCGCAAAGTCAAGTGAGCATCGAATCACTCAAGAATTCAAGTGATTTTTCAGTCACGTAGAGTGAATTCTTCGACTCTCTGGGTCGTCGAGAGTGAATGCACTGAAAAAAAGACACTTGAACATTTATTTGCGGGATATGAAGTTTATTCGCAGAAATAAATTTTATTTCACAAAAATGAACTTTATTTCATAGAAATAGATTTTACTTCACAGAAATGCACTTTATGTCCCGCAAACAAATTTTCAAGTATTTTTCTCTTAGTCTATCTTCATTCAAAATAGAAGAGTATCAATCTGATGTACTCCCACTGTCAGAGAGATATATTCACTCTAATCGATTGAAATAGTTATTCTCGTGAAGTTACAGAATCCACCCTAAGCTTGAATGAGACGTTTACTCTTGCCATTTCGAGTGGCAGCATTTTGTACTATATACCTTTGTATATATACCTTTTATTTATTTCGAGTGAGATTTCATTCCAAGGAATTCCCGAGCTGAATTTTAGCTCTACTTTCGACCTAAATTTTCTAACATCTGTCTATTCTGAAGGATCAGTGTATATTTAATATAAATGGAAACTAATGTCCTACTCCTTAGCGCCTCTAAACGCCAGAAAACGTACAAAGTACCGCTTGCAGGTCCCAAAGAGAACCTTTCGGCAAAGTTTGTAGATTAAATAGAATCAAAAGCAGTTGATATAGGCTCTGGAGTAGATAAAAGTAGACGTTAAATGGAATAGAATCAAAAGAGGTTGATACAGGCTTTAGAGCAGATAAGCCTCAAAGTAGACATTAAATGGAATATTAAAGTCGAAAGTAAGATCAAAATTTCGACTAGGATTAGAAGAGGCAAGAGACAGAAAATATCGTGTAAAATTCGTTACGTACACAGCGAATACTTTTCTTTCCTTTGTGTGTACGACAAGGAATTTTTATTCTTCCCCGTTAATTAATTTTAATTATATAATGAGATATTGTACACGTGTATGACGAAGTGAAAAACAACCGTGGGTTTGACATGGTTTAAAAAACGATTGCCACAGGCGAAAGCGAGAAATGGGAGGCGTAGGGGAGGGGTGTCCTGGTGTTTTGAGTGACCGTTTTGCGTAACGCCACCCCGGAGGGAGCTCGTAAGAGACAGGCTCGTCGGATTTTAAGGAACCGTGAATATTTTCCACCCTTCGGCGCGAAATTAAACCCCTGGGAGCCGCCATCCAATACCGCCCCTGGCGCGAAAGGAGCCGACCTCACGTATCGGTATTACTTTATATATACGCGCGCGAGCGCGGTAGAAAACTTTATTCTCTCCGCGCTGCTGCAAGTTACCTGCCACTAGCTTATACGTATCTACGCCGAAGAGATATCGACGTATCCCGTCGCCACCGTTGCTGCGTCGTATCGAGAGTAGAGACAGAGAGAGAGAGAGAGAGAGAGAGAGAGAGAGAGAGAGAGACACGAAGGGCGTCCCCGCCTCTCTCTCTCTCCCTCTCGCGTCTATTATAGATCCGAAAGTTCGGCCGCGAGCAACACGAATTTGCACTAGGAAACTTCGGCCCGCAATTATCGCGCTGATGCGCCTTCGCCAGGCGACCGAGATTTTGCGCGCTTTTGCGCTCTCGTGTCGTGATATTGCCGATCCGTTTATATATCGCTACGCTCTGCAGAGCGCGCCGCAACTTCAATGTGTTTTATTAAACGTCAAAGCGACTAACACGACCACGTATAGCTCTACCCCTCGACTTTACCTTTGTACATGTTTTCGCCGCGAAATATCCGCGCGTCGTAAAAAATTAATTCGATACTTTCCGGTTGTGGATATTTTTTTAACGTAAATAAATTTGCGTTCCCCCTCCCCTTCTCTCTTTATCTCCGGTGATGATCCGCGTGCGTCTTCCGTAGCGCGGCGGTATGAGAAACGCAATTTGCCGGGGGAGACGCCACCCCCGGCGACGTTCGCGCGAGTAATAATTTGGAATCAGGGGCAGTTCCGGGCCGCCGACGCCGCCGGCTTCTCCTGCGTTTCCTCGTAAAAACGGCAGCGCGTTTATAAGAAGGCGAGAAAGGGCCGCGGGGGAGTGAAAAAAGTTGTTCCGCGCGGGGGTGTAGACGCCGACGCGCACAGTTGTGTGTCGTCATAACGCCGTTACGGCGTTACAGCGGCGTTAATATAAAGACAAATGAAGCGACGCGCCACCGTGCACGCTGCCTCCCCGCCCCTTCGGCCATGTGTCTTTATACAGACAGTATCCCGTGCCACCGTATCAGCCGGGAATCTTCTGTCGCGCGGGCGAGGCACGCGTGCAGGCGACGCCAGCGACAATACTTTGGCAAGCGGGGAATTTTATTAGCCTCGCGGCGGGGTTATTCATTCGGGAGAACGGCGACAGATTCAACGGCGATATTAGCGGGGCCGTCGCTTGGAAGGGAGCATCGTGCAGGGATGAAATCGGCGCGGGGTGCCGTGTCTCGGCGGTGTGAGACTTCCCGATAACTTCCCGAGGAACTCGACGCGAATTTTCCCCGTTTTAACCCCTTCAGTGTTTCTCATCCAGTTCTCTATTAGAGACTTGGGGATATCATTAATATCGTTTCGAGTTAAAAATAAAAATTATTATTATATATAATTGTTGGATTTTATTTATTATTGGGAGTTTTAATTTCAAATAATCAATGAAAGTGATAATAACCGGGAATCAGGGTCGGCTAAAAGATCTGGAGAAATTTCGGCATTCCTCTCGTGCACTTTCTTGTTAAAAAATATCGCTCCTGAGATTGCATTCTGTCTGTTATGCGATTGAATGTCGGGGGAACGTTTGGTTTTTATGATCTCTTTTCTGTCCTAATTTTGTAAGAGTTTGTTCCCTTCTGATATCTTCGTCGCCAACTACGTCGATCCTGTTTCCCCACGTTGCAAAACAACGACGGGGGCACCGCCTCGTATCGTTTGTTATTTATAAAAATCCTCCCCTCCCCTCCGCGTTTCCTAGAATAAACTCACTAGAATATTTATAAGTAAAAGCTCAGTCGCGCGTGCGCTCTCGAAAGTCGCGTTATCGATATCGTGCATAACACTTCCTGGATCTTTCACTTCCGTCGGGCGCTGTCATTCTATTTGTCTTGCGAGCGTGATAAATAGCCTGACCTCGCGATGACGAATGTCATTTCTCGGATTACATACAAGGGAGGTGTGTCGATCGTTCGTTCCCTCGTTCGTTCGCTCATTCACTCGCCGCGGCGACTTCTTTTCCCCCCGCGATATTCCGAGCCAAGTTCTCCGAGTTCCCTTAAGGACATTCGAGCCGAAGCGTTTAGCCCACGTGCCCCGGCAAGTCTGACCAATGTGTGTTGCATTGTATGCATTATAAGCGTAGCGGGTTCCCGTGTAACGGACCGTTCGAGCGGAAAATAGGCGATTCCTAGTCGCGGAATAAATCGACTCACACCACGCAGTCCATTTTTAAATTATTCACGGTCCAAGTTTGGTGCGCGCACGCAGCTCTCCAGCGCTCTCGGGCGCCAGCTATTTCCTCTTCCCTTTTTTCAGCAGGCACATCTCGACATTCGATACGCGAATGAAATGTCGAGCGAATAAAAATGCATTTTCTCTATGTGTTTTGAAGTACCTTCTTGATAGATTAGAGATGTTTTAAAGTATCTTCTTAATAGATTAGATGTATACTGAAAAACCTTCATCATAGACAGGTAGTTCAAGAATTACGTGATCTCGATTATACAGTTAAACGAAAAAAAAAAAAATAGAATATGAACAAATCGTGTTTGTTCTTTCCGTTCAGTAAAGTCGAAGGATCGCGTTGAGTCAGTCGAAAATTTTGTTGGGTACGATTTTCCTTTTCGATGAACCAGGTAAACCAGCGTTGAGTGCGCATTGGCTAAAGTAATCGGCAAATCGATAATCAAAATTAATTAATCGTCATGTATCAAGTTGATAAGCAATCTGTTTCCGTTGAGTGTGACCAAATGAAAATTTGACTCAAGGATTGAACCGCGGAATTCTTTCACACAGAAAAATCTCATTTTAATGCTAAGAAAAACGATTTACTTTCCTACTTTTAAGTAATGGATATTTTCAGAAAAGAATATTTTTTTGATAGTAGTCTTCAAATATATTTATTAAAAATTTTAGAAAGAAATTATCACGTGCTCAAAAGAAAAATTTATTTCTTTTACAAGAATATTGTAAAACTTCCTCGAAGAACTTGGTTCAATTCTATATAGTAAGTAATTCAAATTTTTGTTTTAATTTAATGTTCTTGGTTGGAAAACTAAAGCTACTAGAATTCAGAATGTGTTTTGAGCAAATGCAATGCTTATGACGAGGTTATAATAGATTTGTAGACATATAAACTTATGAAATATTTGAAAGCAAGCAAGATTTACTTGATGAATACGATATGTATTTTTCTGTGTGTACTGACTCAATGAAACTCACCACAACCCCCGTGATCTTCCATGGAGAGCGAGATCCGAGATCTCACGTCGAGGCGCGCAATCGCGCAAAAAGCCGGTGATTCGTGCGAAAAAATTCATTCATTTTCACTGACGACTCCCTCTCCCTTTCGCTACTCCACGGCTCGTTTGTGCAGGTTCGTCGGCGCTCGAGCGTACGCGACGAATTGGCCGGGTTCTGGCGCGAGTGTCTCTATCTCCTTGGCGTCCCCCTTCGCTTTCGCGCGCTGTCTTCTGGTATCGCGCCGCGCACAGAAGGCAATAACATTTTTACGAGCCACGAAACATTTATTGCCGGCTGTAGGCCGCCACGGGGTTTTATCATCGCGCTCCTTCCTTCCTCACTACTCGCTGCTTAAGGATGCACGAGTGCCACGCGCGTATATGCATATACATACACGCGGACGCACACATACACACACACATACATACGCATATCTCTC